TGCACTTAAAAAAATTATGCAAATGACTGACTAAAGTACCCGCATAAACAAAACTCTACAAACTGAAAACGCTGCAAATAAAAAAACGCTGCAAGAAGCTCAAATGAAAACGAGGACACTAAAAAGTGATGCACAGCTGGAAGAAGAGTGCATAGAGGTTTCTCAATTCTTAAATGTCCCCTCCTCGACTCCCCTCCTCGATACTTAGTCCCGCCCACAGGAGATGCGAGCGGAGGACTGAGGAGGTGAACCGAGGAGAGAGGAGGGGAAGCAGCAGGCGGTTAGATACATGAGAACTCCTCTCCTCTGAGCGGTCATTTTAAAGAGACGTCCATTAATGATGACAGGAGGCACAGCAGCCCTCTGTCTAATGGACAGATGTGTTCATGAAGACTTATATATTTACTTTTCATTCATTCACAGTGCGGTATAATGAGACAATAACAGGCTACAGATGCGGACACACACACACATATATTTATATAAATATATACAATTTCAGAATCAAACAAGAATGAGAGCACTCTCATAATAACGTTACACAATCAGAGACTGGATATACCCCCCCCCCCCCCCCTCTGGTGGCTGAAATGGGGAATTGAAATGACGGGCCAAAAGTTGTATTTACAAGTATTAAAAGTAAGCAGAGGACACCAAACCAACTGAGACCCGTCTGTCCGCCGCATCTACGCACTGTACAACACACACACCTACACACTGTACCACACACACACCTACACACTGTACAACACACACCTACAGCTCCTAAAGCATAATCAGGCTACAGCCGTTGTGTATTTTATTATGTGAAGCACTAAATGGTCTTAGAAAAATATCGACTCTTTGTTTGTAGATATCTGCTAAACTAAAGCAAATAAAGAGAGTATAGGCCTGTTATACTGAGTGATATATATTATACACACTGCTCTGCTTTCTGCACGGACCTCACAGCTGTTCTCTCTGGAAACATTGCAACGAGATTAAAGCAGCTCTTGTTGACGTTAGTCTGTTCCATAATTAAGTGTCATCATCAGTATATTTGAAATGACTAGGTTGGATACGTTCCCTATTGCTTTCAGCAGATTTGCAATAATATTGGAAGGAATCGTGCGATCACATTGTTGGAATAATCCAATAAAAAGGACATTTTAGGAAAGTTTCCAACAACAGTTACAGTTGTCTAAAATTATTCCCGAATGCCCTCCAGAGTGCATTCATTTTAGTGTCCCTGTTGTGTTTTGAGCAACTTAAAGCGTTTTTACTTGCAGCGTTTTATTTTTGCAGCATTTTGTGTTTGCAGGGTTTCATTTATGGTGCGCCTTCAGTAAACGATGTACATGTTTCGTGAAGTTGGTGAAGATGTTTCCTCATTTGGATGTGTTTGGGCACATTTTAGTTTTTATATTTGAAAAGTGCAGCGGAAAATGTGCAGAAAGTGTTTAGCTGGTTTTGAAGAGCGTTGGCACATGCTGGTATGAATAATATACATATGTAATCAAAAAGTGCTTCGGTAGTAAAAGGCATTTCACGCAATCGGGTTGAATTAAAACACCTAAAGAAACGTTTCTATGGTGACCTCCCCTGCTATCTTCATTCAGTTTTCATCTGATTGGTTGTGTGTTGAAAGGTCAGTGGTAAAGAAGGTCTTTGTCATCTTTACCATAAAATCCTCTATGATTAGACCCTACCCATGGCTTTTGGCTCCAGGAGCTTCAATAAAATGACTAGTTCAGTGATGTCATCAGGGTTATTTTGTCTTGTGTTTGGGGATTTTTCATGAAAAGCCAATATTACATATAGGGGTTTTCCAGGCACCAGGGGTATCACTAAAGACATTCTATAGAGTAGCATTAAACAATATACAGTATCCAGTGTTTTGGACCTTTTGTCCCTTACTACTTCAGAGATTCTGCTGATCTAATTTAGATTTTATTTTTTAAATAATTCCCCTAACTTGACAAAGAGGCAGATATTAATTGTTGCAGTGCCTTTTTTAAACATTGTTTCTCATAAACCCTAGACTGTGGCTGACTAGCACTTCACCGTCTACAGTGCAACGCAATAGGAAAACTTCAGAAATATGCTTTTTAAAATAGCTTCACACAGTCCACTATCACTAGAAACTTAGCAAACTTTATCTAATTTAGGCCTTTAAGAATAGTGCCTTTGTACCATGCAAGTTATCCAACAATGTCCCTCCTCCGACTGGCTACTGTAGGGTTTTATTTAATTGATTCTCTGTTTCCCTTACCGATGTTATGTATTGCTGTTTGTGTTTTATTATTGCTGTTTGTGAGAAAACATTAATGCTATTTTTATTTATTTTTTCCTGCTTTTTATTAACAGTCCAATTCCGAATCGTCTCAATGGATTCCAATTTCATTCCTGTAGCCCGACTGGTATGTATATTTATATTGTTAATTGCAATCATTTTCACCAGGATAATTGTGCCATGAATTCATCCCATGCCTAGCCAACTTTAATAATATGTGTAATACTGTCTGACCTACTATACAAGTCTCTAAACTAAAACATATTAAACATATTGAATATTTGTAAATATATAAAATGACGGAAAAAAATGTCCAAATCAAATGTTAAAAATCAGAAATGTATTTATTTTGTATTATTATACTGACGAGTGCCCCTGCTGAAATGTATAATCTTATAATCTTTATTTTTTAACTGTATGAAACTGCATCCAAAACTATAACTGTTTTAATTAAGTGAATGAAAATGTCTTTTTTTAAATGTTGATATTCTGTATTTTGCACTTTGGTGTCTGTTCAACCAGGTACATCTTGCCAATCACCCAGTACTCCTCCTGTTTGTGGATTGTTAATTTTTGCTATTGAAAAAGCTAATGATTTATATTCTGTGAATTTGCTTTACACAGGGATGCAAACTCATCAGGTATGAAAAAGGTGACAAGGATCCGAGCCCCCCAACCCCACGGAATATCGGCTTTAAAATGAGGAATAACAGGATGTTAGCAGTCAGAACAACTAAAGCAGCAGTTAGTAATAACAGAAACGCCAAAGAGTCACATCTAATAGAAATATATAAAAGCATTTATTTTAATTGCAGCAGTCAGTTTATAATTTTGGCAGCACTGTTGAGCATTTTGAAAATGTATTTTCATGCCTCTGTGCAAGGCTTAGTCTTTCTATCTTTATAGCCACTGGTGTAACTAAGTTCATAAACTCAAGTACTATACTTGGGTACAATGTTGAGCTACTTGTACTTTACTTAATTATTTCAATGTTTTGCTACTTTGTACTTCTTCTCCTCTACAGTTCAGAGGTACATGGTGTACTTTTCCTCCACTGCATGTATTTAATACCTTTAGTTACTTCACAGATGTGGATGAATGATGTGAAATATAATCAAGTGTTGAATCAAACTTTAGTTCCACCTGGAGTAAATTCACAAGCTACCCTGCAGTATACAAAGTCATTCAAACTAGCTGCACCTTTACCAGCTTTGAGAACACTTTCATGATCAATCTTTATAAAACATATCATATATGTTATTCTGAAATGGACCAATCTGCACAACGACTACTTTTACTGTCGCTACTTTAACTATATTCTGATGATAATACTTTTCTACTTTCACTTGAGGAACATTTTGAATGCAGGACTTTTACTGTAACAGAGTATTCCTACACTCTGGTGCTTCTACTTTTACTCCAGTACAAGATCTGAGTACTTCTACTTTTACTCAAGTACAAGATCTGAGTACTACTACTCTTACTCAAGAACAAGATCTGAGTACTTCCATTTTTACTCAAGTACAATACCTGAGTACTTCTACTATCACTCAAGTACAAGATCGGAGTACTTCTACTTTTACTCTAGTAGCCTAAAAGATCTGAGTACTTCTACTTTTACTCAAGTACAAGATCTGAGTACTTCTACTTTTACTCTAGTACAATATCTGAGTACTTCTACTTTTACTCTAGTACAAGATCTGAGTGCTTCTACTTTTACTCAAGTACAAGATCTATACTTATACCACCTCTGTTTATAGCCTATGAAAAAAACTATTAGAAAACGAAGGCTAAAGCTAACGTTAGCAGATAGTGACAATGCATGCTAGTTAGCCAGCTCAACGATAATATTGCGACAGAAACACTTTTCAGTGCACATCACGCTCTGCCGCTCCGACAGGGAGTCCTGCTCTGAACACCTGAACGGCCCGTTCTAACAGCAGTTCACCAGCGGTCCAGTCTGTGCCACAGTGACTCCGGACCACAGTTAATATTAACGAACGCACCCGTAGGTAATGTAGCTGCTGAAGCTAGACCATCATCGCGGCCGCAGATTACTCCGGGTCCCAGACCCCCTCCATACCCCAAAAATATTTTTATTGCAGATCTACCTGAATCACACACACGACCTATTTTGGATTCAAAACGGCGAATTTCGCCGAAAGGTGACAAGTTTGCATCCCTGTTTACAGTTGTATTCTTCTTGCATATAAAGTACAAATTCTACATGCAACTGAAAATGTTATTTTCTTTTTCAGTACAAAGTGGTGGAGCTCCAGGTAAGAATGACACAAAGTTATAGTATGAGAAGCTGTCTCTAATGCTTGCTGTATAAGACCCTTATACACATTGTGTGCTAATTATATAATGCTATACTAATAGAATACATAAATGCAGTGTTTTATTTTGAGAACATTTTAAAGGCCCTATTGGCAGGATTTAAAAATTGTTTCTGGCTTTTCATTTGATTGTAGTGCCAAAAATACAATCCAATCAACAAACATTGACATGAACTTACAGTACACTAACTTTCACAAGTATTATAATGTCTGCCATCTGAATAATTAAAAATATGTAACTATTACAGGAACAAATCCATAAGGTTTGTGTTGCCTTATTATGAAGGATAGAAAAACATCCTTGTGAGCGTAGATACCATGAGACACCATCAGTTCATAGTTCATTTGTGGGTCTAAACTCATCCTCAAATGTGCCTCTGCCTTCATGTAGGATCCCAATTAAATTCGCATTGCTCAGTGGTTGGATAGGTACGGAAGAGGATTAGGGCCACATAAAAAATTTTTTTGTGAGGATTTGAAAAAAATATTATTATTTTTTGTTCTGAGAAAAAAGTCAGAATTCTGACTTTAATCTCAGAATTCTGACTTTAATCTCAGAATTCTGACTTTAATCTCAGAATTCTGACTTTTTTCTCAGAAAAAAAAATAATATTTTTTTTGGGAGAAAAAAAGTCAGAATTCTGACTTTAATCTCAGAATTCTGACTTTTTTCTCGGAAAAAAAAAATATTTTATTTTTGGGAGAAAAAAAGTCAGAATTCTGACTTTAATCTCAGAATTCTGACTTTTTTCTCGGGAAAAAAAAAAATATTTTTTTTTTGGGAGAAAAAAAGTCAGAATTCTGACTTTAATCTCAGAATTCTGACTTTTTTCTCAGAATTCTGACTTTAATCTCAGAATTCTGACTTTTTTCTCAGAACAAAAAAAAAAAAAATTATTTGGGAGAAAAAAAGTCAGAAATACCGGTAACTGTCGAACCAGCTTCACTGCGATTTACACATTGCAGTAGGCAACAATGGAGGACGTGAGTGAATTTCTGCGCGCCAGAGGGGTCCAAGAGGAAACCATATTGCAAATGGAAGAACAAAAGGTGAGTTATAAATATATAAGTGTGTTTTGGGCGTTCGTAAAAACAACGAAAAGGCGTTAGAATATGAAATGCAGACATTGATGAGCTAGCAGCAAGTGCATTAGCTTATATGCTATGGCTCCCCCCCATCTAATTCAGTAAATAATGGTTTAGTTCGTTGACACGCAAGTTTGTGCTTGTTGGAACAGTGGCGACTAACCAAGAGCAACAGCCTGGTGGTTTTCATGTTTCTGTAGAGAAGATTTCATTAAGTGTGTTTAACAAGGCAGCTAGCTGACAATCAGAAGGCTATTAACCATCAAAATGATCAACATCTCAAACATCATCTCGTCTAGAATGGAGTAAGACAGTTGTGGTTGTGGCCCACAACCACAACTGTCTTACTCCATTCTAGACTTGTTTCATAAAATGCGTATTTTTTTACAAAAAAAAAAAAATATATATATATATATATATGCCTATATATACGCATTTTATGAAACAAGTTAGTGAGGTTAACAGTAAGAATGTTTAACACTTTCTGGCTTTAAATTAAAGGTAGGATTTGTGTTCCTGCATATAAAGTGTTCCTGATAAATAAGATCCGTACTCCGTAATGGACACTTTTACTGAACATATACTGTGTAAAATAGGAAGAAGAGTCTTAACCTTACAATATTTAAACAATATATTTTCTTTTCTTTTTTGCAGATTAAAAGCAACGTTATTGTCTGATGTACAATTCAACTGCCATATTACAACCCCTCCTACGAATACCAAATTGTCCTCTTTATATTCTGCATTACATCAGTTTGCTGCGCTGCTCACAACAATGCCTGCAGAGCCAGATTTGGATGACTTAATTAAACTATACTTCAGACTTTCCCTAAGTAACAAAGAAATACTTGCTATTTTGGCACACACTAATCACATTGTAATTAGTGTCCGAACATTAAAGAGAATTTGTAAAAGACTTAACCTGTTCAGGAGGAAGAACCAGTCTGACTTGGAGGAAGTGCTAGCTTTTGTACAGCATGAGATCATGACTAATGGACAGATGCAGGGATACCGTTGGCTTCATCTCCGTGCAATTCAACAGGGCCTTGTTGTGTCACAAGATAGCATAAGACGCATCATCAAACTGGTTGATCCACAAGGTGTGGAATTAAGACGAGCCCACCGCTTGAGAAGACGTCAGTACAGATGCAGAGGGCCAAATGCACTTTGGCACATGGATGGTTATGATAAACTAAAGCCCTATGGCATTGCCATCAACGGCTGTATAGATGGTTTTAGCCGCTATGTGTTATGGATGGAAGCCTATATCACAAACAGTGATCCTAAAGTAGTTGCAAGTTACTTTATCAAAACAGTTTCAGGTATAGGTGGATGTCCAGAGAGGATTCGTGCAGACAGGGGCACGGAAAATGTTTCTGTTGAAGAAATGCAGATGTTTTTGCGAAGGAACCACCCAGACAGTTTTGCTGGGGAGAGAAGTTTCCTTTATGGAAGAAGCACAGCAAACCAGCGCATTGAAGGATGGTGGGGTATACTCCGCAAACAGAGTGTGCAGTTCTGGATGAACCTGTTCCAAACTCTCCAGGAAGATGGCCACTTCACAGGAGACTTTTTGGACAAAAGTCTTATCCAATTCTGTTACCTTAATCTTGTTCAGGTAAAATATTTTATTTATTTCTGAGATTAGTCATTAATAAAAGTAGTATGAGTAATAATAATATTATAATTCACTATGTTCGTGGACATTGCAGCAACCTCAGCCTCCATCTAGACAGGTAGAAGTTATGTCCGAAAGCTTCTTAAGACATGTCGTCTACATTTACTGTGCTTTTTTTCTATGCAGGATGAACTTGATGAAGTGGTCAACACCTGGAATTCCCACAAAATCAGACCAAGATCAACTGATGACACAGCATCTGGTCGGCCAGTGATTATGTACTCATTCCCAGAGTTGCACAGTGCTGAGGATAGACTCAAACCTATTGCCATGGAGGAGGTCAATTTGTGTATGTTAGAGTGTACTCCCAAAGGCCAGTTTCCGTGCGATGAAACTGTTTTTGAACTGTGTTGTCTACTCATGGCGGAAAACGGATGGGATGATCCAGCAGATCCATTTGCTGCAGCTGATCTATACATCCTGTTACGAGATGAAATACGACGACAAGTATTTGATTAATGGTACATGTAGCGTACATGTCATTATGCAAAACACAAAATACTGTTCAGGACAAAACTGACCTTAAAAAATAAGTAATTATTTAGTCAAAAATGTATCAATAAAAATCATAGTCAATGGTATTTCATGTATTCCTTAAATGTTTGTCTCTCAACACTATTTTCATTTTTCTTTACAGCTTTTCAACAGTTTTTTTTAATGGTAGCCTACTGTATGTATGGGCCAAATCTTTGTTACATGTTTCTACATTGTATACACAAATAATGTACCATGTGTTACACAATGGTAACAACTGATTGCTAATTTTCACTCAGTTGCCAGATTATTTCATGTGCGCTCTAAAAACAGTAAGGGACCAGTCATTAATATTGCCATGTAGTTTGCTGCAACTGAGAAGGCCTTGCTTACACTGGGCAAACTTCCTCCTTTAAGAAAGGATAACAACGCCATTCGCTGACATAACAAACCTACTAGTGCCATGTATTGGTGAATACAAACATCACTTTAGAATGACTTATTGATTGCCACATGCATACAATAATGAACATGTTAATTTTTCAGTATAACTCCATTGTTTTTACTAAAAATGTCTGATCACATTCTTGCAAAAGTGTAAGCACAAATTGAATGATTTAAGCAATAGATACATCGTTCACACCTTTTTGCATAACACATTAATTAAATGAATCAGATTGTCTTTATGCAGTAACACATTTTATTTATTTCAATTACTTATATTTCAAAATGTGGTTACATTTATGTATTCTCGGAACTCAATGAAACAATTTAGCCGTAATAACTTGAGGTGAACAGACTTTGGGAAGCTTGGTTGTGAGTTCATACTAATAGGAGCACATTTGATCCAATGCTGATACAATGAGTATGTCAGTGCAGTATTCATCATATGTTCTCAGTATTGATATACATCAGTCTTTTACCTGTATCACCATAACATTACAACCTAGTGTTGGCAAAAATAAACAATTAACTTTATTAAGACAATAAAGGATACCATTTCTAGACAATTAAATACACATTTGTAAAAAAGGCATCAAGAACTCAAAGCATAGATAAACAGAATGGTAGTGTTCTTAATGAATTTTCAATTATTTTATCATTGTTTTTAATGCCACATGACTAATTAAATTCTCACATTAGTGTCAAATATGAATTACTATAAGATATTTTAGAGAAGTCTTGGAACAACTATTGTAAAGCTTATTTATTCAATCACTTTATACCCATAAGAATAGGAAACTTTATCAACATTCAATTGAAGGCCTGCATACAAATGTGGTGTAAGAAAATACATTTGATTCACAATGTAACCTTAACTTACATTTCAATGTTAAAAGTAACATTTAACAAAACATGAGAATTCCGCACAAGGATGACCGGAAAATTACAGCCCTTTTGCTTTGCTTTTTTTTTTAAATTATTGGTTGATCCACAAGATGTGAAATATAGAAACGGAACAAATATCTGCCTGTAATGTGCCAGTGCAATAACAATTATTAAAGTATCCAAAAATAAAAGATAGGTTTTGTTGCACACAACAATGCCTGCAAAACAGATGTTGAGACTTAATACAATTTACCTTCAGAATGTCTTTCAGTATCAAAGCAATACTTGCAATCTTAGTAAAAAGCAAACAATTGTAATCATAACTTCTCATAACTGAGATAACTGGTAGAAGACTAGTTCAGTCTGTTTATATGCACATCTGAGAGGTGTGTGTGTGTGTGTGTGTGTGTGTGTGTGTGTGTGTGTGTGTGTGTGTGTGTGTGTGTGTGTGTGTGTGTGTGTGTATAGGGAAAGTGTGTGTGTGTATCTACTTGTTTAGAAGAACCAACCAGTCCACCACTTGAAACTTTAACAAGACATTTGGAATCAAGGCAATGTGACACCTGAGGAAACATTTGATCATACAACATTTTAAGCATTATTTTAAGATTATGTCTTAATTACTTTTTACACTAGTATAAAATATGTTCTAAATAAACAAGATGTGAAATATAGAAACGGAACAAATATCTTAAAAATAATGCTTAAAATGTTGTATGATCAAATGTTTCCTCAGGTGTCACATTGCCTTGATTCCAAATGTCTTGTTAAAGTTTCAAGTGGTGGACTGGTTGGTTCTTCTAAACAAGTAGATACACATACACTTTCCATATACACACACACACACACACACACACACACACACACACACACACACACACACACACACACACACACACCTCTCAGATGTGCATATAAACAGACTGAACTAGTCTTCTACCAGTTATCTTAGTTATGAGAAGTTATGATTACAATTGTTTGCTTTTACTAAGATTGCAAGTATTGCTTTGATACTGAAAGACATTCTGAAGGTAAATTGTATTAAGTCTCAACATCTGTTTTGCAGGCATTGTTGTGTGCAACAAAACCTATCTTTTATTTTTGGATACTTTAATAATTGTTATTGCACTGGCACATGTCTTAATTACTTTTTACACTAGTATAAAATATGTTCTAAATAAACAAGTATGCTTTGAACAAGGCACTTGCTTTGCAACTTTATATTCCAGTCAATGGTCAGATAAGGGGTTAGTTACACATTCATGCTTTTACACAAGTTATTCACCTGGGTAAGTGGCATATCATTTTACAATTTACACAAAAAGTAAGAGGGAGCAAACAGTACATTGTATTTTACAACTGTCTGTTTCCATATAAGAACAATGAAGCATGCCACTGTTCTTGTTTGAATCCTTAAACATCTTAGCAGTATTAAAAGGTCTTGAATTACATGAACAAATTACATTTCTGTCAAGTCAGGTTTGTGTTCTGCAACTGGAGAATAATAGTCAATATGCAAGTTTGTTGTAGTTTGTGAACACACCACCAAGTTTGTGTAGTGAAAGATGGGCTCCCTTCTGGCCAGCTGGACTTCTCTATAACTATTAAAGGTCCTGGTGAAGTGCTTCCCAAATATACAGTATAGCACACCATTACTTGCAATTCTGCACAACTACTTCGAACATGAAAAACTCTTAACAGTTTGGATTGGTTTGGTTATTGTTGTTGGAGTCTAAACAATGTCCATAACCCACACATTGCTCTCAAGAACTGCATTGAATTCTGAACGGAAATCTGGGAAGTTCTCATAGCTGTCAGCTATGTGCAGAATATTCCCACATGTGTGTGCAATCGGTCTTCTTGTGAACTCTGTCATTTTCTCAAATCCCACGTAGATGCTGTCGGTCACAATGAGATCAGATCCTGTGCAGAACCGTAGAAACTTCTGAAGTTTACTCTCATCTAGCTCTCTGATGAATCTTTTCAGATGATTTGCTACCTCTTTTTGGTTTGTAGTCAAATCAACATCAAATTTCAGTAGTTTGCAGACTTTTTTTGTGGTGGGTTGCAGGTCAGACAACAACTTAGTCAGTGCCTCTGGACTGAGGTTGAGATGTTGATGGTTAATCTCCCTCCAGCAGTCAATAACGAACATTGGTTTTTGGACCATCTCTTTGTGGGCAATTTCTTCAATTATTTTAGGAAGATTCTCTGCGCTGACTTTCCTTCTACAGCCATAGCTGTCGAGAACCTCCAAAAGGTCATCAGTGTCAACTGCAGTGAAATCAGTCAGCGCTTGCATCAAAACTTCACGTTCTTGGCTGCTCACAAATTGCATAAAATATGCTTTGAGGTCACTGTACACATTATCAAACAGCACCTGTTCAAGGAAAGGCAGTGAAAGTTTGTTTGGGAAATATTCACAATCTTGGTAACCTTTCAAAAGGATTCTTCCAATTGCCTTCCATGTTTCAGCAGGAAAATCATGGCGAATGTAGGGCACTTTAACTGTTGTCCCAAGTGTGCATCTCTCATAGAATTCTTGCCAGAAGCAGCTGAGAACATCCCTCAGTACCCCAGAACCACTGCCTGCTTCTTCCTTGTTATCTGGGAGAATGCGCCTCACATTCAATGATTTGTTTAAAATCTCTGCATCAGAAAAGGCAGTAATCATGTCAGCTAGGGTGTTTGCATGATGTACAGTGATTGTTAGTTGTTTCTCTGCCTCAAGTGGACTGGCGGGGACAGGAACATTCTCAAATATGAGTGTGTCTTCTTCATCTTCCTCGATGCCGAAATGAGGACCAAAGGTGATTTCAGGATCACTAGAAATGTTTAGTGATCGCTGTATGTCGTCCAAAACAATAATGACATCTGTGTAGTCGTCATTTTCACCCGAGACAAGATTAAACTCAGAAGTCTCTTCAACTGTGTCGCTGTCAGCGTTTGCAGAAGGTTTTCGCTTTGTGGCAATGTAAAATCGCAACATTGTCATTTGCACAGTTTCGTACATTGTGCTAATTGAAGGGCATGTTTCAGCTGTAAGGCAGTTTTGTTTAAAATCCCACACCTCAAAGTCGAACTCTGATTCAGGTCCTTTAGGTGATATTCCATCAGGAAAAAATAGTGTCTTTCCTGTTTCAAGGATTTCATTCAAACCAGCATTAGTTGATAGTTTAATTTTTCTAGTGCCACCTCCTTGTTTTGCCCTTACTTGTTTGGTTGTGTTAGTGTCATTGTGAATCCAGCCTATTTCAATATTTCTTGTGGCTTTCAGCTTCTTTGTCTGTGTTTTTCTTGTTTCTGTACCTGATGCGTTTCCTTGAGAACTTTCCGATCTCAGTGTCATTTTTTCCCTCAGTCTTTCATAAAGGCCTTTTTTTCGCTTTGATGTGGGCCTTTTACTTCTACAATGATTAAAGATGGCTATTCGGTCTCCGTAGGAGGGGATGTATTTTTGAAGAGTGGCATCATCCATAAGACCAATGACGTCGCTGTCAATCTGCAAAGAAGAAAGAAAAGAAAACACAATGAAGTTTGTGCACATTGTATAACTATTGTCAACCCTTGTACATCGTTATATATAGATATATACTATTTTGCCATTTCGCAGACCAAATCAGTCCTGTTCATAATACAAAACATTCATTAATTTTCAGAATATTAACCCTTAAAAAGCCAGTTTTTGCCATGATGGTACTGTTGTCACTTTATTAGAAAAAACCAGAAACTACTAGTTTCCCTGGTTACCCTAAAGTTTATAACCTTCACATAAGTATAACCCTTAAAAGTGTTTTTAAAGTGGATTATTACAGCCGGAGACTCGCAACGGCGGTGGACTTTCACAGCACCGCTGCACCGGACCTGCCGGAGCCACCAGAGCCTCGCAACGGCGGGTGTTTGCGGCGGCGGATGCGGTACCGGCGCTGTGAAAGTCCACGGCCCACCTATGCCAGAGCCAGCGGCCCACCAACGGCAGCTTTCAGTAACGTTAACGTTAGAGACTGACATGATACGCAGCGATACTAGATACAATTACCAACACTGTCCTGCTGTTTTAATCTCCTTCAGACAGTACAGCAGGATTCATATTCATATGCTGATAATTCTGTGATTGTGGGATACAAGGACAATGGCCCAAACCCCTGTGGTAACAATGCTACAGTACCGAGAGGGGTTTTACTGGGCGAATTTTGGGAATATAATTAGCAACTGCCTCCTTGCGTTGTACTTTGACCACTGATCTCTAAACTGTTACAGGCAAAAATAATTTGAAGTAATGATGGCAAACAAAAAGAAGTTTGGGCGATATGTATTTCCCATGGTTTTTCCCCGCCAGGCTGGTGAGCGGTAGCTGTCAGGCTCTCAGCTAGCTGCTAGCTGCCTTGTTAAACACACTTAATGAAATCTTCTCTACAGAAACATGAAAACCACCAGGCTGTTGCTCTTGGTTAGTCGCCACTGTTCCAACAAGCACAAACTTGCGTGTCAACGAACTAAACCATTATTTACTGAATTAGATGGGGGGGAGCCATAGCATATAAGCTAATGCACTTGCTGCTAGCTCATCAATGTCTGCATTTCATATTCTAACGCCTTTTCGTTGTTTTTACGAACGCCCAAAACACACTTATATATTTATAACTCACCTTTTGTTCTTCCATTTGCAATATGGTTTCCTCTTGGACCCCTCTGGCGCGCAGAAATTCACTCACGTCCTCCATTGTTGCCTACTGCAATGTGTAAATCGCAGTGAAGCTGGTTCGACAGTTACCGGTATTTCTGAGAAAAAAGTCAGAATTCTGAGATTAAAGTCAGAATTCTGACTTTTTTTCTCCCAAAAAAAAAATGTTTTTTTGTTCTGAGAAAAAAGTCAGAATTCTAAGATTAAAGTCAGAATTCTGAGATTAAAGTCAGAATTCTGACTTTTTTCTCCCAAAAAAAAAATATTTTTTTTTTCCGAGAAAAAAGTCAGAATTCTGAGATTAAAGTCAGAATTCTGACTTTTTTCTCCCAAAAAAAAAAACATTTTTTTTTTCCGAGAAAAAAGTCAGAATTCTGAGATTAAAGTCAGAATTCTGAGATTAAAGTCAGAATTCTGACTTTTTTTCTCCCAAAAATAAAATATTTTTTTTTTCCGAGAAAAAAGTCAGAATTCTGAGATTAAAGTCAGAATTCTGACTTTTTTTCTCCCAAAAAAAAAACATTTTTTTTTTCCGAGAAAAAAGTCAGAATTCTGAGATTAAAGTCAGAATTCTGAGATTAAAGTCAGAATTCTGACTTTTTTTCTCCCAAAAAAAATATTATTTTTTTTTCTGAGAAAAAAGTCAGAATTCTGAGATTAAAGTCAGAATTCTGAGATTAAAGTCAGAATTCTGAGATTAAAGTCAGAATTCTGACTTTTTTCTCAGAACAAAAAATAATAATATTTTTTTCAAATCCTCACAAAAATTTTTTTTATGTGGCCCTAATCCTCTTCCGTAGATAGGAACCTTGTTAGCGGTATCCTTGATATTTCCCACCCCATGATTCCTGAGGCGGTTCAGGGAAGCTACGTGATCACTGCCACAACGGACCAAGGAGAGCAAATATCCCACAGCTTCGACATCAAGGAATACGGTCTGCTGCAGTTATTTGCTGAATATTACCAAAACGATTGATATGTTTGATCTACACTGTATGTTCCTTTTCAGCAGTTACATTTTGAAATAATTTTCCTCGCCTTCAGTTTTGCCAAAATATGAGGTAAAGGTTGAACTACCCAATGTAATTTCCATCCTGGACAAGGAGGCAACACTAAAGATTTGTGGAAAGTGAGTGTCTCACATCAAGGACCTGACAGTGGTTAGCAATGGCAATGAAGTTTAGCACAGTGGCTATTTTATTAAAAATATATGTAATTCTCCTCAATTTTGGTATAACGAAAAGGAAAACTCTACTGGTACTGCTGCATTTTTTTGCAAGAGTATAAAACTGTTTTAGGCAATGGTGTCTGAGTGTGCGTTTCACACAGAAAACCGTTCTCTGGTATCTGAAGGCCAACACCCCAATAGTCCAAAACATGTCCCACTGGACCGAAAGCTCATTCGTCCTATGGCCCATTGCTTCACAAATACACATTCTTAACGAACAAACAGCAGCGTATAGCTATTACAACCACATAGCAACAAACCTTAATTATTGTAAAGTTCTTTGGGGATTTTTGGGCTTTTTTCAATGTTTGTCCAAATATGAGAGGCTTGAGGGCAAGATAGACGCATAGACAACTCTTTCCTATTTGTTTGTATTTATTTCTCTTTTCAACAGTTGACTTATGTAGATATCTATAGTAATTGTCCAGGTAGAAAACCTTAAAAACAATAGAAAAACACAAATGTAACATGTTAGATAATAGAGAATGCCATACAAACAAACTGAGCATAAACAATTCAGCCATCTGAATCTAATTCGATTTTTAATTTTGTCTTAACAATAAAAGTGTTTCCTACTATAGCAAAGGCATGACCTGCATTAAACTGCCTCCGATTGGCTAGTACATGTTGAGTTGGCTAAAATTAGGAATGTCGTTTGAGATTTATTATAGGTCGGTTACAAATCTCTGAAGAACCAGCACCTTACCGTGGTAGAGAGGTTTGTGTGCCCTGATGAACCTGGGGGCTGTGTTGTCTGGAACCTTGTGTTCCTGGTAGGGTCTCCCATGGCAAATTGGTCTCAGGCAAGGGGCCAGACTAAGATTGGTTCAAAAGACCTCATGAAAGAAAAACTAAGAAGTGAGGATACCCGGCCCGGAGGAAGCCCGGGGTCCCCTTCTGGAGCCAGGCCCAGAAGGAGGACTCGTCGGCGAGCGTCTGGTGGCCGGGCTTGCCACGGAGCCCGGCCGGGCCCAGCCCGAAAAGGCAACGTGGGCAACACCTCCGCTTCTCCGTCCCGCGGGCCCACCACCTACGGGAAACATCGATGGGGTCGGGTGCGCTGCCAGAAGGGTGGCAGTGAAAGCGGAGGGTCTCGACGGACCAGACCCGGGCGACAGAAGCTGGCTTTGGGGACGTGGAACGTCACCTCTCTGGGGGGGAAGGAGCCGGAGCTTGTGCGGGAGGTGGAGCGTTACCAGTTGGATCTGGTTGGGCTCACCTCTACGCACAGCGTCGGCTCTGGAACCTTACTTCTGGATAGGGGTTGGACTCTATTCTTCTCCGGAGTTGCTCAAGGTGTGAGGCGCCGGGCGGGTGTGGGGATACTCACAAGTCCCCGGTTAGGTGCTTCGTTGTTGGAGTTTACCCCAGTGGACGAGAGGGTCGCCTCCCTACGCCTGCGGGTTATGGGGGGGAAAACTCTGACTGTTGTGTGTGCTTATGCACCCAACAGCAGTTCAGAGTATACGGCCTTCTTGGAGACCCTGGAAAGAGTCCTGTATGGGGCTCCTGAAGGGGACTCTTTAATCTTGCTGGGAGACTTCAACGCACATGTGGGCAATGATGGAGACACTTGGAGGGGCGTGATTGGGAGGAACGGCCCCCCTGATCTGAACCGGAGTGGTGGTTTGTTACTGGACTTCTGTGCTAGTCATGGATTGGCCCATAACAAACACCATGTTCGAACATAAGGATGCTCATAAGTGTACGTGGTACCAGAGCACCCTAGGCAGAAGGTCCATGATCGATTTCGTTATCGTATCATCGGACCTGAGGCCGTATGTTTTGGACACTCGGGTAAAGAGAGGGGCGGAGTTGTCAACTGATCACCATCTGGTGGTGAGTTGGGTCGAGTGGCGGGGAGGAAGCCTCTGGATAGACCTGGTAAGCCCAAACGTGTAGTTCGGGGTGAACTGGGAACGTCTGGAGGAGGCCCAAGTTCAGGAGGCCTTCAACTCACACCTCCGGCGGAGCTTTTCGGGCATTCCTGTGGAGGTTGGGGACATTGAACCAGAGTGGTCGGTGTTCAAAGCCTCTATTGCCGAAGCCGCGGCGGGGAGCTGTGGTCTCAAGGTCCTAGGTGCCTCAAGGGGCGGTAACCCTCGAACCTCCTGGTGGACACCGGTGGTCAGGGAAGCCGTCCGACTGAAGAAGGAGGCCTTCAGGGATTTGTTATCCCGGGGGACTCCCGAGGCAGTTGCAAGGTACCGACAGGCCCGAAGGGCAGCAGCCTCATCCGTGGCCGAGGCAAAGCAGCGGGTGTGGGAGAAGTTCGGAGAAGACATGGAGAAGGACTTTCGGGCGGCACCAAAGTTGTTCTGGAAAACTGTCCGACACCTCAGGAGGGGGAAGCAGGGAACCATCCAAGCTGTGTACAGTAAGGATGGGACGTTGTTGACCTCAACTGATGGAGTGTTAGGGCGTTGGAAGGAACACTTTGAGGAACTCCTGAACCCGACAACTCCGCCCTCTATGTTAGAGGCAGAGCTGGAGTATGACGGGGGATCAACACCAATCTCCCGGGGGGGAGGTCACTGAGGTCGTCAAACAACTCCACAGTGGCAAAGCCCCGGGGGTGGATGAGATCCGCCCGGAAATGCTGAAGGCTCTGGGTGTTGAGGGACTGTCATGGTTGACACGTCTCATCAACGTTGCGTGGAAGTCGGAAACAGTGCCGAAGGAGTGGCAGACCGGGGTGGTGGTCCCCCTTTTTAAAAAGGGGGATCAGAGGGTGTGTGCCAATTACAGAGGCATCACACTACTCAGCCTCCCCGGGAAAGTTTACTCTAAGGTACTCGAAAGGAGGGTCAGGCCGATTGTCGAACCTCAGATTGAGGAGGAACAATGCGGATTCCGTCCTGGTCGTGGAACGACGGATCAGCTTTTTACTCTCACAAGGATCCTGGAGGGGGCCTGGGAATACGCTTATCCGGTCTACATGTGTTTTGTAGACTTGGAGAAGGCGTATGACCGAGTTCCCAGGGAGTTACTGTGGGAGGTGCTGCGGGAGTATGGGGTGAGGGGGGTCTCTACTCAGGGCCATCCAATCTCTGTACTCCCAAAGCGAGAGCTGTGTCCGGGTCCTCGGCAGTAAGTCGGACCCATTTCCGGTGAGGGTTGGCCTCCGCCAGGGCTGCGCTTTGTCACCAATCCTGTTTGTAATATACATGGATCGGATTTCAAGGCGTAGTCATGGGGGAGGGGGTCTGCAGTTCGGTGGACTAAGGATTGCACCACTGCTTTTTGCAGATGATGTGGTTCTAATGGCTTCATCGGTCTGCGACCTTCAGCACTCACTGGATCGGTTCGCAACCGAGTGTGAAGCGGCTGGGATGAGGATCAGCACCTCCAAATCTGAGGCCATGGTTCTCAGCAGGAAACCGATGGACTGTCCACTTCAAGTAGGGAATGAGTCCTTACCCCAAGTGAAGGAGTTCAAGTATCTCGGGGTCTTGTTCTCGAGTGAGGGAACAATGGAGCGTGAGATGGGCCGGAGAATCGGAGCAGCGGGAGCGGTACTGCAGTCGCTTTACCGCACCGTTGTGACGAAAAGGGAGCTGAGCCAGAAGGCAAAGCTCTCTGTCTACCGGGCCATTTTCGTTCCTACCCTCACCTATGGTCATGAAGGATGGGTCATGACCGAAAGAACGAGATCGCGGATACAAGCGGCCGAGATGGGTTTTCTCCGCAGGGTGGCTGGTGTCTCCCTTAGGGATAAGGTGAGAAGTTCGGTCATCAGGGAGGGACTCGGAGTTGAGCCGCTCCTCCTTCGCGTCGAAAGGAGCCAGTTGAGGTGGTTCGGGCACCTAGTTAGGATGCCACCTGGGCGCCTCCCTAGGGAGGTGTTCCAGGCACGTCCAGCTGGGAAGAGACCAAGGGGTAGACCTAGGACCAGGTGGAGGGATTATATCTCTTCGCTGGCCTGGGAGCGCCTTGGGATCCCCCAGTCAGAGCTGGTTGATGTCGCCAGGGAAAAGAAAGTTTGGGGCTCTCTGCTGGAACTGCTACCCCCGCGACCCGACCACGGATAAGCGGAAGAAGATGGATGGATGGATGGTTACAAATATCACGGTTGGGGTGAAAATATTAAGGTGAGTCAATCGGAGACTGAGTAGGGACTTTCATGTCTTAATCATGGATGGAAGGAAAATAAAAGCGTACGTATTTTTGGAGCAATGGTCGTTTTTCTTTGGTAAATAAATGAGCAGTTTGTGTACTGTAGTGTTAAGTGCGATTCTTAAGAAATAAGAGCTTTCAGACCTTAATGAACATTAACGTATTGTACTGCAATAAATACACATTTTAAATATCCATTCCTGAAGAGCATTCCTCAATCTGTGTGCTCTCTCCTGCAGATACACCTATGGGAAACCAGTTGTCGGTTCAGTCAAGGCAGTTTTTTGCAAAATTGCTACCCAAAGGTTCTGGTTTTCAAGGAACCAGGAAAAAGATATCTGCAAAACGTATGAACTGACGGTGAGTACCCCAGATTAATAAAATACATGCTGTTATTTCTCTCTTTAAATTCTATTTTTGGTTTGAAATGGACTTGTGCTATTATCTTCCAGACTGACAAAGCTGGCTGTGCTACACAAACTGTGAACCTGGCAGTGTTTCAACTCAACATGGAGCATGAACGATGTCAGTTTTGAGTTGAATGCAGAATTGGAGGAGTACGGCACAGGTAGCTTGGCTGTTTACATAGGAGCATTGACTGTTCATTGAGTAATCACCATTGTTTCCTGATGAGCTGTGATCTGTATGTTTTCTACCATTTAGGAGTCATTCTTACAGGCACTGGGCGCACCAGCTTCAGCACTATTGTCAGAACTGTCACCTTCGAGGACGTACCTG